GCGCCACCTATTGTTCGAAAGTGATAATCCATTAAATCATCTTATAAGTTAATGTTTATGTGATTTTCTTAGCCATTTGCCCAAAGTTCGCTCAAAATGCCCTTAATTGCTCCTTGCTGCAGTTGGTCTGCCACTCCTTGCCATTTTGGCATATGTTGCCGCTTATTGCGCTTGGCCCCGGTAATGGCTGCTTGCAGCTATATTTTAAAATATGTTTATTTCTGGATTTATTAGACAACAAATATGAAGAGCCATTATTAGAGGCATTATTATTATTTCAAATAAATAATATATAATTTAAATGTATCATATAGGCCTAGGCCTATATACTGCGAAATATGAAGTATTTCAGAAAATCATAGCTACTAACATTAAAAAAATAAATTAGGTGTCAAACAATAGTGGATTTAAATAAAAATAGTAGGCTAAGGACTGAAATGAAGTTGTGAAAACTAAAGGGTTTTTTTTTTCTACTAATCTATCTTACATTAAATAAACCATAGCCATAAGGTAGGATGTTTATATTGGCCTACATATATAATTGAATACACTCAACTAATAAAGCTCCACGTGGAATTACTAATATTAAAAATTGGGCCTAAACTAAATATTTAATATTTAGGAGAAATTCAAGACTTCCCACAGTGTTATTTTTCTCCCAAAAAAACACCAGACATTTTTTCGCCTTCACAACACGTGGTGCAATTTAAATCTAATTCTTTATTTACTCATTTTGCTGTTGGTATACATTGTTCCTGTAGGACCCCGCTGAACCTTAACGTTGTCCAACTCAAATGTTGACACATGCTAATAACACCTGACAAATGTTAACGTTGGCAGAAAGTGAACAGGGACCTTTTAATTTCCACTGAGCTTTCGCTAGCATAACGATTTAGCAAACACGGCCATTTTCGTCAAACCGTAGTGCAATAACTCGGTAATTCATCTGAGGGAGGTTGATATTTTAGTTGAACGTCAACTTTAATGTAATTTACGTGGTGATAGGTGTCACGATTATTTTCAGTTCCTCAACTCCACAAAAGGAAGCCATTGAAGCAGGAGGAAAATATAAAAGCACTGCGGTATTTCTCAAAATAGTGTCATATTTGAGGGAAACGGCCGAGTATGTACACAGGTCGAAACGTCTAACCGCCAATATTCGCTTGAGTTAATCCTCTTGTCTTGACTGATGCTCGGCTCTCTTCTTCTCAAACACCTGCAGTCTTCTTCGCCTTTCCTGTTGCCAGTTAGGAAACCACAGTGACATTCAGAAGTCGGAAAACCCAGAACACGGTATGTCCAAAAATACTGCTGAGGTCTGTAACTTTGAATTGGCGCTTTGAAAACAAGAGCTGAAAAGCTTCAGGCTTTAATTATAGATACCCACACAATGAGCGAATGAGGGGCTTCAAAGGAGGCCACGGTAAAACAGAATTACAATTTCTGCGTTTATTAGGCCTATACAAAAGCCAACAAGCTTGTGATGGGAACAGGGGCCCGAGGAGAACAAGAAACAGGAATTGTAGGCCTACAGTAATGTTCTTTGATTGTGATTTCATGGACGCTAACTATTTTTAACTTAACATAAAACCATGGAATGGGAATCAAATAACATTAGGGGCACTAGAATTAGTCAACACTCGTGAAATTTAGTTACCCCTTTTTATTGTTTTTATGATTATTTAATTTGGCCAGTTACATTATTACATGGCCATTTTATGAGGGGCAAATGAGCCTATTCAAAGTGCCCGTAAACCAACAGCCTTCATTAAGTCTCACAATATATATTTTCATGATTTATCTCTTCTTTTGTAAAAATCAACTTATAATGTGGTAAAACAATATTTTGAGTTTCTATTTATTAAACCAACAGCCTTCATTAAGTCTCACAATATATATTTTCATGATTTATCACTTCTTTTGTCAAATCAACTTATAATGTGGTAAAACAATATTTTGCGTTTCTATTTATTAAACCAACAGCCTTCATTAAGTCTCACAATATATATTTTCATGATTTATCTCTTCTTTTGTCAAATCAACTTATAATGTGGTAAAACAATATTTTGAGTTTCTATTTATTAAACCAACAGCCTTCATTAAGTCTCACAATATATATTTTCATGATTTATCACTTCTTTTGTCAAATCAACTTATAATGTGGTAAAACAATATTTTGAGTTTCTATTTATTAAACCAGTCTCCTTTGTTGTATTAACTTAATAAATGTATTTCAATGAACTCATAATTAAGGCAACCATGAAACTTTTTAAGTTAAACCAACAATAATTAAAACACCACAATGAGTTAGAACAAATACAATTTAAATGAAACATTTTAAACTTTTTTAGGCAATTGCATGTTTTGTTACCTTATATAGGCCCTTTAGCCTTGTTCATTGTTACAAAAGTTAGATACTTAAAAATAAATGTAATTCTGTTTGTTTTTCTATATAATTTTCTGCGATTAGGTTTGCCTTGAACTGCTTAAACATTTAAAATAAATCAAATATTTTCTTTTTATATTTTGTACACCTTTCGAGAAATAAAAAAGTTTTAAACTCTTACATAGATTTTGTCTACTGTTTTAGTAGCCCACTTTGTACTGTTTCTGTGCAAACTGAAGTGATTGGCCTACCCATTTACACTAAGGAGCAGATATAATTCTTATATAATAGCCTACTATAGTTATATTAATATTTTGAAAAGCAGAAATGTGCACTAATAGCTGCCAAACAAGTTTCTCTTGATTTCTTAGACAACATGGTTAATAGTCCTGCACAGGTGAGAATGCCCCGCCCCTTAATCAACGCCTGGTGCAACCAACTAGCAAGTAGAAAATCATGTTAAATCACTAAAGTCGGGCTATTCAAAAATGGAATTCGCTAGATATAAAAGTGCATTCCCAACAGTATCTGTAAAAAAAAAAAAAGTTTGGTTTAACTTAGTGTATACCATTGTTGCCTTGAAATTTTTGTGTTCATTTAAATAAAAAAATGTGAGTTAATAAAATGAAGGATATTGGTTTAATAAATATAAACTCAAAATATTATGTTATTTGAAACAAATTTGACAAAAGATATACGTGACAACAAATCATGAATATATATATATATATATATATATACATATTTACAATGCTAATGTTTTTTAAGGTTATCCTATTACATTTGATGTCATTTATATGCCTGATGAAATGGGAAAATGTTTATTACAGCAATCAAATGAATCACAACTGTCTTCACAACATGACGGCCATCAGCATTACTTTACAAGCTTGCTTCGCATTTGTTAATGCAGCCTCCAGATATCTTTCATGTGACAGATTTCATCAAATAATTCTTAAGAGTAGGCCTATATAATCATCCCCAGGACCATGTGTCCTCACCGCCACAGAAAGTAAAGTAGACCAGCCTTAAGAAATCACACACAGCAGGTCTCTGATGGAACCGTAATCTGATGTTAATTAATCCCGCGAATTGACTGTCATTTAAAAAAAAAAAAAATCAACGGCGAGGAGCAGTCAATAATCTCTGTCAGCAATGTCACCGAGGTGCCGAGGGGCTCTCACCCACTCCGACACGATAAGCCACTGCAGCTTCTTGACAAATTTAATTTGGATTAATTTTTCATAAACTACCAGCAATGTGACATAATCTTGGATTGGCCTAGAAACGGACAGTAAAACCGTTAGCCTCTAATTAAGATACGGCCTCCAGATGCAGCATCCTTCTCTGATTTCACCGTGATCGGTTTAGTTCAGCTCAAACGCGACGTGGAGCCTATGTGATCTCACAAGCCTTGGATATATTGGTGAATTGCAAAAACTCTTTAATAAGATGTTTTCATAATAACCTTGTTTACTTAGTTCCTAACCATATAGTCTCAGTTGCATCAGGCATATAGACAGCATATTGGGTCATTGAGTAAAAAAAATGTCTGTAAACGATTCTGTGAGTCACACTTTTATGTCATTGATTGTACCATAAGTATAATCATATATATAGCTATGGCTGTAGTTATATAATAGACTTAGGCCTACAGTTACAGCAGATAGAAAACATTTAGGTATCAAGTCATAATATTGTTGGTTTAACTTAAAAAAAGCAAGTTATCAGGTTGCCTTAAAATTTTTGAGTTCATTGAATTAAAAAAATTGAGGTTTTACAACTAAGGAGTTTGATTTAATAAACAGAACCTCAAAATATGATGTTATCTGAGCCACATTAATGATCTAAGTTGATTTGACCAAAAAAATAAACATTTGTGATAAATCATGAAAGTAATTTAACAACCGTACCACAGCTCCGGTTAATAAATTTTAGACTCACAGGATTAGACTGGGTTTGGATAGGTCTTGTCTTTATTTATTATACAAAGGAAACATTCATCAGCCTTAAAGGGGCCTTTGACATGGTGTTCTCAGTCCACTTGCGTTTTTGCCACGAAGAGCCACAAACAAACTCAAGAGAGGCGAGCAAATGAGTATCCAGCTCTGTCAGTTAATATTTATCGCCGGTCCCACTTTGCGAGACGCAAATCTGGGACACAGTTGCATTCATTGTTCAGTGAGCTTTCTTTTACAGTCCAACCCACCGACAGCAATGAATGTTGATTGTGACCTTTGTTGCAGTTTTCAAAGTCAAACTTTTCAGGCGTCGTTCGAGGCTAGCATCGGAAGACCGTGCCGTCATGTCTCCAGGAGTCCATGCTCAAATTTCCTCTTTAGCCGGTGGTGGGGAGAGGCAAGGCTCGGTAGGGCTCGGCCGCAGGGTACAATCAACGGTCGATGGTTTTTTTCTATTTAGCTCAAACTCACCGACAGCGTTGAATGTTCACTGAGGCAAACATGGCCTGATGGTGAGTCGACTTGACAGTCTGTGCAGAGGTCGCTGTGGAGACAAGGCAAGCAGCGGGCGGGTGCATCCCACCTCTCAATGCTGAAAGGACATCTCACAGGTCACCTACTCCAAAAATACAACTTATTGAATTCTGCACTCGAACTTTATGACCTTTTGATGGTTTGGACATTTTTACAAAATTGACTATTTATTTTTTCCATGTTTGCCCCTTATTGTGCATCAATTTCTTGCTGATGTAATCAAGGCCATGTGGGCGGGGCAAAAATATTAACCAATTACTTCTAGATGAATGTTCTTTTTCACTTGAAAATACGATACACAAGTTATAAATTCATGTACAAATAATTAAAAATACAATTAACATACAAAATGTAAAAGTGTTTCTTTTGATGGCCTAATAAAAAGCATTCTCTATTAATCACGCAAAGTCTTGCTAACAAAAGGTGATTGGATTCAGTATCCACAAATCTTAGACAGTATCCTGGCCTTAATCCAAGTGCAAGCAAGCATAACACAATAAACAGAAACAGAAATAAATAAAAGGAAACAAGAAAAGAGAACAGATGTTATATGTAAGAGCTATAGTATAATCATATGAAATGTGTAATTTATAATAATATAAAAATGGAACAGGACTCATTTTAGGGCATTATACGATTTATTTCCTTGTAAATCTTATTTAAAAGATGCACTTTAGAAGGAGCACTTTGTATTTTTTTGGTTTATATTGTGCTGGTTGCAATGCCTAACATGACATACTGACACCTAGTGGTGTGGATGCAGAATGATGCAAAACCAAAAGCATTTAGTTAGAAAAAATGATTGAAATGAAATTTTTATGCTGTCCTATTGAATAATATATTTAGCAAGGAAAGGTTTTTAATAATAGGACGGTTAAGTGAGTAGTTTTCAGAAATGGTGGCGACCCATTCCATGTAAACTTTTAAAATTACATTTACTTTTGTTTAGTAGTACTATTTCTGTTTCTGTAAAACTTAACACGGAAACATTCCTGAGTGCACCTTTAAGGCCGAAAACAAAACGCTCACCCTTTACCGTGGTGCAGGACTGGGTCAGCCGCCCAGGAGGAATTTGGCCTCCAACCTCATCCAGTGTCTCTATTATCCCAACTTTGGAAACTGCAAAGACACACACACATACACACAAAAAGAAAGAGATTGAGAGTTGTATAAACGAATCCGTACATTAAACAGATGATGGATGTGAATCGAACAGCAAACCGCACCCCTACCCCCACGCAAATGATACACACACACACACACACACACTAAGCCAGACTTTGACTTGACTGCTGCTCTCTTCTCTTCAACACCCTCCCTTTGATCATCGTGATTACAGTAATTGGGTCTGTAAGATCTTCACACAAGGGGCCTCTATCAGGACGAAGGAGGAGGACATCGCACACACACATATGCCAACGTTTCTAATTGCATGCTTTGGTGATACCGAAAAACATAGCTTCCTCACATATCAGGCAAATTAAAGTATCTGTGCTGATGTGCACCAGCCATGCAGCCTTTTAAAACCCTTGAGGACCAAAAAAATGGTATGTCTGTGTGTTTGGATGAGTGGTCCAACTAGAGCTTACTGACCGGCAGGAAGACCGTAGGCCTGCATGTGAGGTTAGCCTCTCAATAACCATGAAAATCAGTCCATAGTGGACATCTGAAGTCATGTCATTACAGACCATGACGTTTATGTGTTTTTGGGATTGTGAAATATGACGAGACAATGCGGTTGCTAGCTTAAAAAAAAAACATTGTTAAATGTCAGCATGTGCACAAAAAAAAAACGTGAACTGATAATATGGCAGCTTTACTGTACGAATAGAACTTTTAACATTACGAAAAAAACTTTGAAAACCGTCCTATTGAGAATTGAGGTTTACTTCAAAAAAGTGATAAAACCCATTCTCAAAATGTTAAGTGCAACAGACATATTGCTTGTCGCTAATGAACTTAAATCTAAAAAATCGTCATAAATCTCAAAATGAAGTAGTCACGCAGAAAGCATATGGAAAAATAAAAAGAATCATAATGGATCAAATGTTTTCGAAGATTAGCTGCTATGCTAATTGTCCAATAAGACAGCTATACTGTAGGAATATTATGTTAACAGCCTTTTTGATGCGAAAAAGCGATAAAACCTATGTTCTAAAAGCTGGAAGACAAACTGCTTGTTTGCTCATCACAAAAAGTAGTCATGGAAACAAATGTTCGAAGATCGTAAAGAAAACCACAAGAAGTATCATGCTAGATCCAACATGTTGCAGCAGTCATGCTATTTAAATGCTAACAGACCAATGCAAGGTTTACATAAGTTACAGGCTATTCGTTTAACCATTAAGCCCACTACCTTTAAGGAGTCTACTTCTTGTGCTTGCATCACCAATTAGCCTTGGCTATAAAGCTAAGATTACAACACAACATTAGCGGCTTAGCTAGCAAAGCAGCAGGCGCACTAGTATATGTGTTCTGTGTTACTAGCATTTAAATTTCCCTCAAGTAAGGTGTGGGTGGGGCTTAGAGAGCAGGAAGTTAATGACAGTGTGAGTAACAGCTGGCTCGTTAGTTTCCCACCTCTTCTCCCGTAGACACGATCATTTTTCTGGAATATTTATTGCTGTGCACTGAAAGAGAACATCCATTTGCCGAGGGTTTCCTCAGAGGCCTGCACCGCATGGCTCGACAGTCCCTACCGCTGCGATCCTAACATCTCAGATGAGAGATATTATACACACTAGTGCTTTTTTGGCTATTTTTATTCATACAGTATGTTATGTGGAGAGAGAGAGAGAGAGAGCATGTGGGCAACCCGCTAGGCTTAAATAAAACCTACGTTTTCAGGGTGATTTCATACATTTGGACATGTCCTAAGACGTACTACATCAAATTTTATTGTGTTTTTATAAGGTTTCACAAAGTCTAATAATGGTGCTAATAATAATTTGTTGTGACTTCAACAGTGACAATAAAATCCAATTCTTTAATTCTAAAACAAAATGTTCTCCCTCAACGTATAAATGAGTCAGAAATAAAGTAAAACCATAGTCAAGTTTGTATTTTTTTTTTTTTTTTTACTATGGTTTACTACAAACTCCATTGTTAAGATTCAGATGCTGTAGATTTTTCTATACACACACAAAAACACCATGGTACTGTAGCAAAATCATAGTGTTGTGATTATTGTGGTTTTACTGCAAATGCTGTAGTAGTTATCATGGTTTTAATGCAATACATACATATTTTTGTAGTTACACTGTAAAAATATTGTTGGTTTAACTTAAAAAAAATGAAGTAACCTTGTTTGCCTTAAAATTTTAAGTTCATTGAAATGGAAAAATTGAGTTAATACAATGAAGGAGATTGATTTAATATTCAGAAACTCAAAATATTGTTATCTGAACCACATTAATTAAGTTGAGTTGACAAATGAAAAAATGAGAGTATTTTTTTTTCACAGTGTACACTTTTTCAACAAAAAGCAGTTGAACTATGGCTACTGCAGCAAAACCTTTGTTAGGCCAGTCATTTCTCTGCATGTTGCACTGGTCGATCTAGCAAGCCATTATATTCATAGAGCATTCAAGTGCCTCAACACATCGGTTCCTGTTGTGATTTCCTCCTCCATTTCTTTCTACAATCTCTACTACCCTACTATCACCGACTCACAATTAACTGTTAGCCTGCGGGCATAAAATAACCAGGAACGCAATATCAACAAATACCCCTTTCAGTGTAAAATTGCACTATTTTCCAACCCCCTCTGACTTCATAACAAAAACGGCGAGCCAACCTGGCCTCTAATTGGACATTATAATTGCAGATGTGAATTAATGGGGCAAACACTGATAGTGTAAGCACATAAAACCCCGATCCCAGACCGGCGGGGTGAATGAAAAACAGATCCAGGAGAAGGGAGGTTCTTTCCCATGGCAACCCCTGGCCGGGGCCGGCATGTTCTAATCCCGCCACTTCAGCAGAGCTGTTGTTATGGAGAAAAGCAGGATATTTTTCTATTGTTTGGATGGAACGGTCACTGTCGAGTGTATTGGGCCAAGGGCTTCAGGGTAGACGACACACACACACACACACGATACGGTTTCACAAGCGTTAGCACATCATTATCCTGACGGTCTAAACACAACTGAATGTTATAGCTGGCTGGGAATGTGATGTTGGGATATTATGCTGACACATAACTCGGGTAAATTCCCCCCCAAATATGTTGAGACAATGTTTGAGCATCTCACAAGCATGCTTCTTCATCTCTCTGACATAATTACAATAAACAGCTTTCGCCCTCCTCCCTCAAGGAGAGTAATTACCTCGCGACACGCTGAAAGCTCTTCTCATTGTGAGATGCCACAGACAAGACGCGGTCTCCTTCATGTCTGGACCTGAGAGAGACAGGGAGAGAGAACCAAAAACATAAATAAAAAGCCTAACTTTATATCAAATCTCCTTCATAAATGTTTAGCCCCATATCTGTAGTTTAAAGGGAAAGGTGTGGAGTTTGCAGAGCTGGAACATTCTGGGTCATCTCTCTCTTTTTTTTAACAAATTATTTAAGGGTGTGTGGGACGTAAAGGATTTCTCCAAGCACTTTGGAAGGAAGTTAAACGATTTCTGGACTTCCTTTAGCAAACACTCACAGAGTGTACAAATTCTACACTTGGAGGGGTCAGTGTGAGGGTAGCCCGTGATTCCCGTCTCTTGGCAGGAGATCTGCTTTACTAAATTGTTACGTTTTGTTAGAGTTATGCTTAAACAATTTGCCAATGGGACGAGAAAAGTAAACTTCATTCAAAAGGATATAATCTCTGGTTCTTATGCAAATTTTCAGATAATATTTGTTAAAAAAAAAAAGTTTGAACAAATATAATAAAATATAACAATATACAGTAAAAGATGCAATGAAATGAAAATTATGGAAGCTGGTTTCCTCCACAAAAAAAAAAAAGATTTTAATCTCACAATTCTTTTTTTTCCCTCGCAATTGCATGATATAAACTTTCCCTCGTTTATATCTCACAATTCTGAGAAAAGAAGTCAGAATTGCAAGATATAAAATCGCAATTGTGAAAAAAAAGTCAGAATTGTAGGATTTAAACTCGCAATTGCAAAAAAAAAAAAAAAAAGTTAGAATTGTGGGATATAAACTCGCAATTGCGAGATTGCAATTATCTTTTACATTTTTTTATTCCGTGGCAAAAACAAGCTTCCATAGAAAATAAGCGAATAAAACAAAACAGATAAATATACAAATGAATGAATGAATAATTAATTAAACAAATAAAAAAAAAATTTCAGCATAACTTGGACCATAAATTGTTTTAATACAAATATATTAACACGGACCAATATAAAAGGCAGTTTGAAAATAACCAGTTGGATTGAATCTCCTGACTTGAATGCTTCTAGGTCGTAAATTATATCTGTTCTTATCAATGTGGTTAGGTATCCTTTGCAAGTTCCACCGATTTAACCAAAATTTGCATACACAATTGCAATTCAAATGCATGGATTTCCTTATTCAAAATTACACACAATTTTTGAAAAAATTGCAACCGCATGTTGAAGTGTGCAGGTTTAATTTTTTATTTAAGTCAAAGAAAAACTAAGATAATCTGAACATTGTGGGTGACGTGCCACTCTCAGTGTCTCTATTGGTCATGTATGTCTATTTATCTGTAAGATAAAGGCAATTCATTGTGCTGAACTGTTTTCTTGTGTGTTCCTGTAACACATTCTGTCTCTGTGTGTAACAGATAAAGCTGGTTGTAGCCAGGCGGCTTCACCTGAGTGAGAAACTCTGTCTCACGCGTCTGTGTTAGCCTGCTAGGACAGATGGCAGTCAACCTTTGATATCTCAAAGGCCAGGTACATGTGAGAACACTGTGACGCCCAATCTCACATGGAGCAGTGACAGAAGATGAAAAGAGAGGAACCAAGGAAACTGACAACACGTGAAACGCGGAAGTCTCTACGGTGCTGTTGAATTAAAAAAAAAAAAAAGACGACCTGAAATGAAATCAATTCATTTTGAAATACCGAGGACAATTCTGTTGAAGACAATTTGAGGTCAAATTTGTAGAGAGGAGTTGCCAATATATTGCATATGTTTTCTAATTTAAAATAATCTAAATGTTAAAAATGTACAATTTAAGCATAGTTTGACAGTAGAAATAATAATAATAATAATAATAATGACTATTATTGTTGCTAGCGGGTAATCTTGTGCATCCAGTCAGCCTATTCTGCATTTTAGCAAAAATATGTCTGAAAAATATAATGTAATCAATTGAGCTTGACCAATAAATTAAGAAAAAAAAATAAAAATAAATAAAAATAAGAGGAAAATTGCATTGCCCATATCAGAGCTCTGGAGATAAAATGAAAGTCCCACAAAAACCGTCACAAATGTTTCTTCTAAAAATCGTTTGAAGAAGAAATAGAGACAAATGAGACAATTGTTCACATATTGTAAGAGAGATCAGATCTATAATATTAGTTTGGATCATTTTAAATTGAGAAATGTTCTGACGTTTGACAGCAGACTTTGGGATCTTGACTAATTTGAGCACAGTTTGTAACCTTACTGAGATCTCTTTTGAAACTCTATAGGAGACATTTGGGGAAAAAAGGATAAAAAAATATTGTTCCTTTAATATCAATGGTGTTTGCGAAAAAGATTTGAGAATCTAATTCTATGTGGGATGTTGGTTCTCCAGGCACACTGAAATCCAGATTTTAGAATATGAAAACCTTCAGTTTTAATAAAGATTTCAACCCTAATTCCTTCAACCCTAGCACCGTTGTAATGCACTGAATTGCACGATGTTAAGTCACCCAGTTTCATTTTCCAAGTCTTGCTCCTACTTGACAACTTGATGAACATTTTTATTTTAGAAACTTCCATGTGGCTCACAATATGTGTCTTCAACAAGCTAATGTATACACAAGTCAGAGACCTAAATGAGGACCACCCACAAACTCCTTTTTGGAGTCTTCAAAAGTCTTACAGTGCACCACTGACTAGAAATACATTTAATTTAATAATATCAATGTCTGCATGAAACTGAGCCAATTTCTAACTTTTCATTCAACATCAAAACCTCAAATATCTCCACAGTGGCATGACTTCTCCAGACCAGCCTTCATTTTTCTAGACTTTATTGTGGCGCTAACCAGTTGTAACTTGTCGCCCAAGCTCTGGACCACCCAGATTAGCCGTCTAAACAAGGCTTTAGATGTTTTAATTGTCTCCATCCTCAGGGTGTGCCATCGACTTGAAAGTACGTCGTCATAACAGCAGTAACCTCCCTCATTTGAGATTTATACAGAGTACAAATTCGCCACACTGAAAACCAGCCATTACTCAAAACTCAAATCGAAAATGGACAATTCTAACATTTACAACTACATCTGAGAGACTCAAAATTAAAAATAAGGCAATGATTGAAAGCAATAAAAACCCCCAAAAACGTATGCACTGAACGCAAGTCGCTTTGGATAAAATCATCTATGAAATGCAGAGGCCTACATGCAAATGTAAACACCTTTGAGGTAGAGAATGTTATGGGTTGTAAGCGGGAGCATCCAGAGTTAAGTTTTTAAGATGAAAGGATGTCATAAATACTGAGACGCTGTAATAAAAGACTGTCTCCTAAAACAAGACGCTTCGTGGCCCCTGATAGTCTGTAATTTACAATGACAATATCAGGGACAGTCACGAAGCGGGAGACAAAGTGCAGGGTAGAGAGAGAAAAACATAGTTGTATTTTTTTTTCCTATTTTAATGATTCATCCTTTGTCTCAGATGCGTTCATCTTCTTAGCATATCCAAACAAACCGTTTCCCCTCGAAATCTCCAAATGATCCATTAAAACGATCTCATTTGAGAGCAACAACTATTCGGGCTGCAAAACACGGGACGCCGAAAGAAAACAGGAGAGGGTGCAAACGCCCCCTCCTTCCTCCTCGTAATATGCAAAGTTTCACCCCGAGGTATTAATCTGTTTCCATTGTAGCTAAGCGCAGATGCTATCAAGCTCCATTTGTCATTGACAGCGAGGGTAATGACCCTGAACTCGCGTGAGCAGCTCCTGGGCAGCAAAGACACAAGGTGGTAAGTAACTCAATATATTTTCCCACAGCAGCATTAACGGCTACAAATTTGCTAGGCAAATTGAGTGTGATGAGCACATTTTATACCGCTTTGGCTCGTGGTTGTACCGACTTAATCTCTTTGAGACCATTAATCTCTCAAAATACATTACAGGCAAGTAGGGCCTGTTGTAACATTGCTTGTTATATCAATCTTGGATTACAATGTTGCTTGTTTGGGCCAGACTTCTTGACTTATCACTTAATTTATGTGGCGATTCTTAATATTCAGTTCAAAAATGCGTGGAGTTGTGCATGTTGCCTAAAGAAAGAACGCCATTGCAGGAGATTTCCCAGGTCTTTTTCGATCAATAGAGTCATGTGAAGAGTCTTTTGTCCCGTCGCAAACCCTGGGCTCTAAAGAGCTTTCAGTCCACCTGAAGGTTCAGCACCTTATGAAAGAAACAAGTGGGGAATGTACTGATCACCATTGTGTCCAAAACAAGCCTCCACAGAGCCAAGGATTTCAAGCAGTTCATGAACCCAGCAGGAATAACGCTCTCAAATTCCATCCAGGTTTCCCTCAAATGCTACGATCATTTCAAGCGCTACAGTACGAACCATGAAGATTGAGACACAATGTGGTTAGCCAGTAGTTTTTAACCTCCGGTAATAAGTGAAATGGCTGGCTGTGCTTATATTGGCAGGCGGGGAGGAAAGAAAGCCCAGATAATCTTTCTCTGGTCAAGTGCCCGTGGCCCTGGCACTGTTCTCGGAGGTAGTAAAGCGGTCCAGATTTCATACCGGTAACTATCACTCAGGTGAGGTCCTGTAGCAGAGCTACATAATTAGCATGGGCCATAGAAAAACATTCATTTAGCATTCTGTGAAACAATTTAAAAAGTAAAAGAGTAATAAATCCTTCGTTCTCGGGTCAATTCGATCCCTTCGGAATGAATGAAATGTGAGCAATTCTTCAGTATACATAGAAAAATACTCAGAATGAAAAATGCTAAAACTTTACAAAAAATGATTTTATAATGTCAACATGTGTATCAGAGAAAAACTGAGGAACTGACTTTAGGACCCAGTGGAAAAGCTCATTTGCTCCATATAGAGCTATAAGGCCATTTAGTGGCAAAAGTCATAAAATATCATGTGATTTATTTTTTTTCCCCAAATTGACCCAATGTGATATACACTCACCTAAAGGATTATTAGGAACACCTGTACAATTTCTCATTAATGCAATTATCTAATCAACCAATCACATGGCAGTTGCTTCAATGCATTTAGGGGTGTTTTCCTGGTCAAGACAATCTCCTGAACTCCAAACTGAATGTCAGAATGGGGAAGAAAGGTGATTTAAGCAATTTTGAGCGCGGCATGGTTGTTGGTGCCAGACGGGCCGGTCTGAGTATTTCACAATCTGCTCAGTTACTGGGATTTTCACGCACAACCATTTCTAGGATTTACAAAGAATGGTGTGAAAAGGGAAAAACATCCAGTATGCGGCAGTCCTGTGGGCGAAAATGCCTTGTTGGTGCTAGAGGTCAGAGGAGAATGGGCCGACTGATTCAAGCTGATAGAAGAGCAACTTTGACTGAAATAACCACTCGTTACAACCGAGGTATGCTGAAAAGCATTTGTGATCCACAACACACACGACCTTGAGGCGGATGGGCTACAACAGCAGAAGACCCCACCGGGTACCACTCATCTCCACTACAAATAGGAAAAAGAGGCTACAATTTGCAAGAGCTCACCAAAATTGGACAGTTGAAGACTGGAAAAATGTTGCCTGGTTTGATGAGTCTCGATATCGGTTGAGACATTCAGATGGTAGAGTCAGAATTTGGCGTAAACAGAATGAGAACATGGATCCATCATGCCTTGTTCCCACTGTGCAGGCTGCTGGTGGTGGTGTAATGGTGTGGGGGATGTTTTCTTGGCACACTTTAGGCCCCTTAGTGCCAATTAGGCATCGTTTAAATGCCACGGCCTACCTGAGCATTGTTTCTGACCATGTCCATCCCTTTACAGCCACCATGTACCCATCCTCTGATGGCTACTTCCAGCAGGATAATGCACCATATGGTCGCAAAGCTCGAATCATTTCAAATTGGTTTCTTGAACATGACAATGAGTTCACTGTACTAAAAATTGCCTCCATAGTCACCAGATCTCAACCCAATAGAGCATCTTTGGGATGTGGTGGAACGGGAGCTTCGTGCCCTGGATTTACATCCCACAAATCTCCTGCAAATCAACTGCAAGATGCTATCCTATCAATATGGGCCAAAATTTCTAAAGAATGCTTACAGCACCTTGTTGAATCAATGCCACATAGAATCAAGGCAGTTCTGAAGGCAAAATGGGGTCAAACACAGTATTAGTATTGTGTTCCTTATAATCCTTTAGGTAGGTGTATATTGAGCTGATTTCGGCTGGTTATGCACGTACTGGAGTTATTTTGAATTTTAGTTTAAGGTACATAAAATAAACAATAATTAAAAAAAAACTCCAAAGAAATCGCATTAAGAAAATTATAGAAATGAAATGATATACGCTTTTTGGACAAAAAAAAGCTGTTGAGCCTGTTGAGCTACTGCAACGACTAGATGTTTCAAAACCTGTTAGAGTCTGGTGTTATTTTCCAATGCTGTTCCTTCCTTTTCTCATCAGCTTTTCCTTTCTTTTCTATACTGTTCTCAAGTAGAAATCAGTAAATTTACATGCATGACTGAAATCATACCAGTCAGACTTCACTGAATCAGGCTAATAGATCTGATAATGTGATTTTACCTCAGCCTCACCCAGCATGTGTAAATGTCAATCAGACTACATTTTGCATCGATGTTGTGCATTTGCTCCAAGATTCAGAGGTGACATGCAATGTGTATTTTACACTTTAAATATTTAATTATGCATAGTATCACATAAATTGGAGATAGAGAGACGAAGACTGTGTCGAGCATACTACTACACTGCAGGCAAGTGCGAAGAACCAGTGACTGTACGTAATCATGCGACTATAAATTCACACAATTTTCATCTATCAGCACTCTCTTTAAAATCCTCCTTGACAGTTCTAAATCCCACCAAGCTTGTGCCAATTACCAAAGGACAATGTTAGCCATCCCTCCACAGTGTGACTTTATAAATGCTCTGAGGGCCGTGTCTGCTAATTCGGCAAGTAATGCACTGTTAGGTTTGCAAAAACCAGCTAGCCACCTGCTGCATAAGCAGAATAGGGTGAGTGGACCTTGGGACTTCCCAGCATGGGAGTGGAGACATGAGGGAAAACTTTAACAAAAACGTGGTAGATTACGCTAACTGAGAAAGATCTAAAAATGACAATGACAGACCCAACCCCTCGCTTTCAAGTCCACTTGAAATTGCTGGATTCACCTGCCATGCGACAGTAGTGAAAGGCCGGAGGTGCGTTGTTAACCCAGCAGGAGAGGATGAGGCTAAGGTGCGAGAGAAAAGGAATCAAACGGCTGAGTGAATCACCTCCAGGAAGACAACAGCTGGAGAGGTCGTCGCCGGAGGGAATAAAAGTAGCTTTTAAACACTCGTTGAGGCGTGTGGGGGTCTACAAAAGGGCGGAGCGAGGATAATGTAGCAAGTGTCCACTGGAAAAGAGACAGACAGTGTCTTTAACTAGTCTCCCGACAAAGTCTGCTTGGACTTTTACAACAGACCAGAGCGAGGGAGGGTGGGGTCCGATGGGGGATAGAAAAGGAAGGAGAAATTATAGCCTTCCGGAAATTCAGCATTTGCATCTGTGTTACCTATAATCCTACAGGGCCAGTCTGTCTGACCACTTGACAGACTAGAGATCATTTACTCAAGCATTTAGTATGGATAAAGAATGCTCTTAGTTTAAGTGGCTGAGAGTTCGTCTTGGGAATACTAACTGGCAGCACAATGCAACATTTTTGGCCCTGGGGAAAAGCAAACACTTTGAATGAAACGGCTGATCGGTAACTCTGATCTTTGTGGATTTAAGAGTAAGAGCTGTAAAAACCATGTACACAAGCAACATTTAAACTCGAACCAGTAGTCCACCGGAAAAACAATCTGTCATTTACTCACCTTCATGTCTTTCCATACCCGTCACACTGTTATTTTGTTTGTGGAACACCACATTTTTTCTCAAAAAAGGATAAAAACACCATAAAAGCAATCTAGTCCTGTTTGTTTCGACAACATTTTCAGTGAATTACAGCTTAAATTTCAGAATCATATGGCTTTTATGGTCTTCTTTGAGTTCAAAAGACACATTCACCATGAAGGTTCTTCATAAATTTTGGACTGAACTGTTGATAATTATAATTGTTTAACTCTTTCAGACTACCTGAAAACCAACTTTTACATCATACCGGACATCATAGTCAGCAAAAGTTGTGGAATACCTATATTTAAAAATTAAATTCTTGAACTGCAACTCAACCCTAAAGATGACATTGTTCCAGACTCGCTCATAATAGCAGTGATAGTGTCTTGCGGTGAGGTGATTGCAGTGAGTAAAATACAGGGAGTCTCAGATGTCTGTTTAACATGATGAGGTTAGATGAAGGCACAGATAAGGAGTCAAGGAACTGACGCCTGAGTGTGCAGGATGAGCCGGAGATGAAACGACACATTCTGCACCTGGATCACATGGCAAAATGCCCAACACGCATTCGTTTGCAGATGGTTTGGAGGAGCCATTCGAGGACACAGAACATAAATTTCAACTTAACCAAAAACCCTCAGAGGTAAATGTGTTACCTTTATCGGTCGTCATCGGGCAGCAACAGTCCGACTTCCATGGTTGAGCTCCGCCAAGTCACCAGAAGAACCAGGGTTTAAAAGACTTCCCAGCATTGCATCTTCTAACAGCTCCCGCTCTGTTTCTGGCGCCTTGATAACCTATGAAATGCAGAGGGAGGGGGAAGGAAGAACGATAAGGAAATCGTTTCACCAGATGGAACTGTCTAAAGTCAGGCGAAAGCAGAAGGCAGCGCATTTCATTTAAAAAACTCAATTTGACAAGATGAGACGAGGTCGCGGATTCCAATCATTACATTAAAATACTTTTCGTTATCTTTCCCGCAGCACCCGCAAGACGTACAAAGAATATTACCGAGAAAAGTCACAACAGTACAACACCTCCCAGTCACCGGGGTCGTGACTGTGTGGCTACCAGCTGTGTTTTTGCTGTTTTTGATAAATCAAACATTTGCCCTGATCTGGCCCTTCCCTGCTCTATATTACACTGTGTGGAGAGGTGACTTCAGCGCAAGAGGATGACTCTGTAGTGGTAATAGACGCTCATCAAAATCGCCAGCAGCTGTGCGGCTATTCAACATGCTCTTTCTCTTTTTTTAGGCCACAGCTGCACAGATAAAGGGCTGGGCAAATATTGCACAATGAACGACAAACATAGAGCTTCCACAGTCTCCGTTTCGAGCTCGACTATATGTGTGAACACTCAATGCTTGTCCTCCTCTATGTTCGGTTTCAATGCTTGCCCGTCCATATTTAATTGCCATTCTCGCCACCCCCCACCCAGCTCTCCGTTCACCCTGCACAGCCCAGAACCCCTGAAAAGCGGTGACAGAGCTCCTTTGTTCACCCCAGACCACTCCTCTCCCTCAGCGCCCCCATCCACCCTCCGTTCGGTTGACAGGCATGCCTGTACAGGCTCGGCAAAAAAAAACGAGAGAGGGAAATTCAGTGTGAAAAGTGAGATAGTGAGCGACGGGGAGGGTCTCTCGTTTTCAAGCTCCTACCATTTCTGTCAACTCAGCAATACCAGAGGGGGCTTCAAAAAAGGGGTTAGGAGATGAGGCGGCCACCGGTTTACAAGCCCTCCAAAAACGAGAGAAAGATAGGTAGAGAGTCAGGGATTCAGCTATGCATCGCTTAACTCAACTAGCATCCGCCTTGAACAAACATTCAAGGCTAAAACATGCTACGCTGACAAGTACAACCCGTAATATGGATCTTTTTTTTGTCTCAACATACATACATAACTTCAAGTACGATGGTTAGTCTGTATAGATGTGTCTCTCTGTGCTTGTGGCTAGTTGTTCCCTTCGTCGTTGGATCATAACAACCATTTCCCTGGTTTTAATTTAAATAGTCATTTTACGGCCTGTTTTATTTTAATGACCGTGTTTATGGTAGCCATTTGTCTTGGGAAAGATGCAGACAGATTCTCAACATATTAAAATGGCGTTAAAAAACAATTCACGAAACATACAAAAACAAACATGTAGAGCATTTTATACTTATACGTAACACAAATTAACATTCACATTAAACCATTCGCATTAACATTCACATGTAGCCAATATTTTTGGAACATCAATTTAGTCTGTACAAAAGGCAAGTATGCAGATGTATTGTACATATATAATGTACATTCTTGGGTAACTTTTAGTGGTGACACACACCTCAGTACTCTAGGGGTTGACAGAGTTACCATTAAAGTAAATTCCGATTGTGACGTGTGTAATGAAATGGCTTAGCAAACCAGAATAAATGTAGGGCGGGACTTGATTTTGTCTATCGGGATTTGATTGGATCATTGTTTGCTAATTATTGAGATCTCGTAAGTCATACATAAGAGAAGGGAGGACAAGTTATTGTTTTTGGTTAAATATTACAGGGACACTTGAATTTAGGGCTGTCAAACGATTAATCACGACTAATCGCATCCAAAATAAAAGTTTGTGTTTACATAATACATGTGTGTGTAGTGTGTATAATTATTTTGTATATATAAAAACACACATATGCATGTATATATTTAAGAAAAATGTGTTATTAATATATCAAATATTTATATATAATATAGATTTTATATAAATATATATAAAGTATATACATGCAAATATTTCTTAAATATATACATGCATGTGTGTGTATTTATATAAGCAAAATAATTATACACACTACACACACACATATTATGTAAACACAAACTTTTATTTCGGATGCGATTAATCGCGATTAATCGCTTCACAGCCCGACTTGAATTTAAAAATAACTGGATAATATACGTAGATGCAATTACGATTAGAACTGTCAATTTTTAAACTGTGTGATAGATAGTTGCAAACAAATCGACACTTGAGGATTACGCACATTGTAATGCCGCTTGTGGCAATGATGAGTATACATTATATGGTTTGTTTTATTTTAATGGCCAAGTTTATATTAGTCCTGTACTTTGGGAAAAAGGCAGGCAGACCTTTCAACAACACGCTGAGGTATAAATAATATAAATTTGATCCATGCAAAATCCTAACAGCAGGAGTAGGCCAGAAAAATACACAAGGCATGTGCCTTACGTAATTAGTCTCGGGTAGCTAGCTATGAACATGAGATGTGTCCAATATTGCAGTAGAAGACGACAGTTTATGCCAATGCTTGGTATAGCTCCCCTTGTGGCAATGCTGAAAGAGCAGAGATTGCATAGCTAGAAACGTTTGCGCTCATCTACTTCTACATTCATCTATTATGTTAATTTGTACATTTTGAGCATGTAGGCGGTGTACTTGCAGATATTTAAATCACAAGCGTTTTTCATAACTCAAGACATATTGTTCAGATCTACTCGTACACGTGAGTAGGAAGATAAATATTTGGACTGAAGATGAGCACTCCTGAAGTAATAATCCTCAGGCAATCCCTAGATAAACCTTGAGTGGAATAATTTATTCAAGATTGTACTTAACATTCTAAGTATTTAACATAAGAAGGATTTGAAAAAAAGGACATCTAATATTGATTTTACAGGTTTGACTTTTCTGATCTTTAACACATACTTTTTCCCATCCAAAATTATTTTAACTGTGACATCTGTGAAACAAAAATGTGGTTCTTCACTACATCAATACATGCATTGTTACTTAAAAAACCAAGATATAAATACTTAACAATTTTTAACAAAATAAAGATTTAGGCCTGAGGTAATTCAATACAGTTACGCTACTGAGAAGGAAAAAAATAGTCTAAGACCATTTTCCTTTATTAGAAAGAAATGTTGAAATGTTTCACTGACAAGTCAACTTTAATAACTGGAACCCTAAGGGGGTTTGATTTCAGCAAGCTAAAGCTATGCTAATGCAAATGCTAACAAAAGCAATGCCACAAGTTAATGGGGGGGAGCTTGACAATGTTCACACGCCAAATTTACTCCAGCACTAATGTTTTTTAAAAGGACTGTTTAACTCAAATTAGGAGGTGACCAGGGCAGGACCACAGGGAGTTCGGATGCATTCGTAAGCAGACCATGAAAACCTCTTGAGATTACTAGTCCCAGTACTCGCATTGACAAAACAGGGAGGCTTCGGCAATGGTGCTAAACTAATTGAGTGGTCCCTTGGGGGCTTCAAGTTCATTGTCCACCATGTCTCAATTAAACATCCATCAAACTGCCATCTAGTACCAAAGGAAAACCAAACAACGCAATCAACGTTCTTGAATGAACAAGGTATTCTGGCACATCTTGCAAACCATCTCAGTCAGGTCAGAAAGAGATTGCAAATCTCTCTTCCCTTTTTATCCACCATTAGATGCCAATAGGACAACTGTGAGAGCCCTAAAACTAAAGGTGAAAGCTAAACTTGGCTAGATCAAACTGTGCAACCATATTGATAACACAAAGCAACCTTCTGGCGGTTTATTTATTGTGGAAGGGTTGCAAATTGTAGCACAAATTGTTGATGCCAATGGCTTGCCAACTTAAGCTTCCTTTCTGCTAGCTGAGGATAAATGCTTTGGATATGGGAGCCACTAATGCTTGGATGCACTTCTTGTAATAAGTACAATATGGAAGTGCTTTGAAGTTTACAGCTCGCAGGTCTTTAGCTCACTTTGCAAACACATGAATAGGGTTCAAAGTCATTAAATGAATGAACCGCAACTTGAAAGTTGGAACGGTCCCTAGAATTTGACTGAATGGATCGCACAACGGAGTCTCGAGTTGAAATGAGGAGCAGCCGAACAATAAAACGATACTATATCTTTTAGGGATTGCAGCACAATTGACGGCAAATAAAGGCTCCCTGGTGCTGCTCAGCTTTGATAGAGCCACACAACCGGACAAATGCTGAATTTGCAAGAACCGTGCATTCAACGGCTTTCATTTCGGATTGAGCTTCTGACAATAAGAGTTAATTCCCATGTTCCTTTTTCCACGATTTTCTAGCTGGAACAAACGCGTCCGCTGACTCTAACACAGTCGTTGTTGAGCAGGATCACTTTTTAATCGCCAAGATTGTGCAAAGCTCGAAGAATCAAGCACACAGAGCGGACAGCGAATTAATTCCACCTTCTTGGCCTACCTGAAAACCCAGTCAGGTTTCACCGGCAAGCCCTCGACGCTCGTTGCTTAAACCCCTGTCAGTCTACCGTGCCTGAAACGGAGCCAGCAGGAATCCACCAACTCCACAGTTCTGCCTTTCCCTTTCACGGTCCATCTCGGGAATTTTACGGATAGCCCAGTAACAGTTATTTGCTTTCAGCTGTCAGAGCGGATCCTGGTTGTGTCTACCTACTTCAAATCCAAACTGCAAATCTTTAACAGCCCTCGGCCGTTGGTTATCGATTGAAGAGTGGCTGTTCTTTGTCCAGTCCTTGGAGGAAGTGTTGTGAAATGGTCCATGTATCCTTTTTTCTTGCCGCTGTTAAGGAAAGATAGCGACTGCAATTGGTATAATGCTGTTTGGTGAAAATGCTAGCTGACCTAGAAAATAAAGATACAGCGTCGTTCCAAAGGCTTTAGGAACATCTAGTTAGAGTAGCGCTTCTCAAACTGTCGATGGAAGTATGTGAACGACTACAAATGGTCCACCAGTCAATTGGCTACTCAAGACTTAAAACATTGAATTAATCAATTGATAGCATGCAATAAACAATAATTTATGATAAAAAAAATGTTTCTCATTTCCACAAGTTCTAAGCTTAAGCGAACTTTTTAGCTTAGCATTTTGTCTCATTAGCTAAAAGTAAATGGCCATTTGCCAACATTATTGATAAAAAAAGAGAATTTCAAGATTAAAGTTAAAAATTAAGGATAATAACAGTATATAACTGTTTTGAGGTAGCAAGCATGCTACTAGATCTCCAATTCCTGTTTTAAGTTGTCTGTCAGTGAATAGTTTTTTGAAAACTACTAAGTAATAGAGCTTCAGAAGAAAAAACATGGGATACTGGTGAAATTTCTTTAAGTGTTCCTCCAGTTTTAATTATGCAACTTCAGTATTCTTCACTTTCAGCCAGACTTATCTAAGCATGTACAGTGAGCTCAATGAATATAAAGCTCTTGTATATGTTTCATGCATACCTAATTATGGCAAGAAACATGTAACAGATACCATTAGCATACACTACTAAAAATCTAAATTAAAAACCAATCAGTTCCTCTTTTTTTTTCCTTTCTGAAAGTCAGCTACTGTGTGGGGGATTACAAACGAAAGCTGCAACTGAGAAGCAAAACTGCTCATTAGCATAGCGAATCTCTCCCAGAATTCATCCGTGTTGACGGGACAAAAGTCAAAAGTGTTCAACAAGCTCTCTGCATGTATTGGAATGACATTTCTGTGGGTTAGCTCCCAAAACACAGTATGAAATAAGAGCAAGCAGCTGTCTCTTACTGCGTCCAGATGGCGGCAGAACGTATGTAAATTGCCTCATTAACCTTACAGCACTTAACTACCGGGCTGCGCTGATGGTTCGGCCCACACGGGCATTTTATTAAAGAACATTAATAGCATCAGGCAGCAATCACCACTGCCTGAGGTGATTTGCTCTGGCATTATCAAACACTGTAATAATTATACATGACAACCTCCTGATTAATGCATTCATGAATATTACAACGCTGCATTATCTTTAGCTGCGCCCCCCGTTCTTAAACCATGAACTTCAAGGGTGTTTTAACAAATACTACAGGATAAGCACTTTCTTCCGCCCACCCTTGCAACCCTTTTGGGCTCAGCCACACCTCTTACAAACAAAAAATAAAAGATGGGGAAAAAAGCCATCATGCAACATTACCCCCAGTAATGCCCTTCCGAGTGTGTGTGCAATGAACACCGTGGAGAACCGACCTGCACCTGGAGCACAGAGGAGCACGGCACAGGTCAAAGGTCAAGCCTCCAAGGGACTCTGACTAAACAAGCCGCCACTCCTTGCTCTGAAAAGGCCAGACAACCCCTGTGGTTGCGGCTCACAACATGGGTCTTTTCGTCCTATCTTTTTTTCCCCTTTTTCCTTTGGAGAGGCGTGTTAATCCATAATCACTCAAACGACCAGGAGCTCAATTATGCACCAGTTTCTCCATTTTCTCTTGACACATAAAGATCTAAAAACAATTAACCTCTAGCCGGCAACGCGTTTTCACACTGAGCGCAAGAGGAATAAGTCAAGAACCCTCCATTCAAATTCCACCCCATAATTCAGCGAGCATAAATATTATTACATATTTTCTTTTAATGCTAGGCTGCAAGGTTTAAGCTTAGCTTACATAATGGATGGTATTTCTATACATATCAAATTGAAATTGTTTATGTGTGCTACATAAAAATGATATACCTTGGAGGGATTGATGTACGTATGGATTACTTTAATGGATTACTTTAACTTCAAATGGTACCGATACTGTTTGACTTGTCAATGTTAAATTTTTTGTTAAAGGTTTAAGGGGGACAGTTCACCCCAAATTCTATATGAAAAAAAAATATATATTTTGAAATTGTTTGATGACCATTTAAATTTTTAGCTGAATTATTCCTTTAACAATCTTAGACATTTAAAATGGCATGTTCAAACCAATATTCAAATACAAGTTTATTTTTTTCTTTCACTTTTATTTTGGCTCTTCAAAATAGTCCAAAAGTGGCATTTCTCGGTGACGTCATAAATATATGACCTATTTTTGTTTTACCAAAGAACCGTTCATTGAACAGTTCTAAAAAAAAAAAAAAAACCTTTCTGTGTGCGAAGAACATTTTAATATTCTAAAAAAAAAAAACGTTTTCCACTAAAAAGAACCTTTTGTGGTTCCATGGATATTCTTCATCTTTGTGATGAGCAAAAAAACATCTATTAAAAACACATTGATATCTATATCCACAATGTACACTACAATACGATTTTCCCCTCAGCAGCTCAAAAACGTTCGTTCAAACGGAGTCAATGGGTGTGACACTAGGGAGAACTCGCGCCCATGGCCTCTCGCCCAAGCCGTGCGGTTCTCTACGTGAGGCTGTCTGATTGTATTGAGCCCTTTAGCCCTCAATAAACACTCTTCCTCTGTCAGAGGGTCTCTGTGGCCTCCTATTCATGCGCAGGTAGAATGCCTAAAGAACGCGTGAGAGGAGAGAAAAAAACAGCTTGTTGCTTCTATTGAACCTTTTATTACGCCCCTTCAAAGGCTTATGGCAGAGGAGGAGAGCGAGAAAGAAAGGATCTGCCGTCTACTTAGTGCCATTGTACTCCCAACATGTCGGCTCTGAGCTCTGTGAGAAAACACAAGCAGACTTCATCCAAAATATCGCACGTCGAGCAAATCAAAGTGCACTAGCTAAAGACAAAATGGCGATTTTTTTTTTTGGGACACTGATTTCAGGAAGCACGTTATTATGAAAATACAAGGAAACAGACGCTAATGTAAGCCAAATGTAATGATATTCAAATGTGCGAGTAAGTGTGTAAAGCCGCAAAACATATACAAATGTAATTTTTAAATGGATACTGATGTGTAAAAAATTTGTTTTTACATTAAATCATCTGAATCCTGCACTGAAATCAAAACAAACATTAAAATTAATTGTGCCCCCCAATTTTTGTATTCATTTTGTTAGTTTAAAAGCTATTTATGTTAAGTCTGTCGACTTTAAACAGTCCCCAATATATAATTCTTAGGATACTGTGCAAAAATCCTACAGCTTTCCTCATCGCAACATTCATGCTTGCATTATAATACCTCAGTTTATGTAATTTCAGATGAGACAAAGCACTTAAACAAGCTGAGAATCCAACGCTCACTCTTATCCACAGAACCAACAGTCACAAAACATGCCTAAAAAGAAATCGTAGCTTTTTTTTAAACACACGAATACTGTAAGTTGACAGGTCTTGTACGGTAAAGAAAAGCCTCATATGCAATTTTGAACAGCACGGTTGAATAAAGACTCCCGCTTACACACACACACACACACACAAGGAGACATTGTTGTTCATGCTTCTCCTCGCATGTGTGCCAGACTTCTTTCTCCCTGGTCCATACATTGCAGAAGAGTTGGCCCCTCATATACTGCATACTGGCCCCCAACATTGCATGCCGGCCCCTTGATTAAGCAGGGCAAAAGATGCAAGGGGAAAAAACAGAAGAAGAGACAAAGTAGTGAAAAAAGAGCGAAAACAACTGGCAGGCATCCAGACTCATGGGGACTGCGTTGATCATTATGTCTAGCCTTCAGGTGTCTGAGCCGGCTGTGTTTTGGGGGGAGGTGTGGTTACCAAAGAGGCAGACAAAGAGAAACTCGTTCACCGGGATCAAGAAAGCGAAGAAGGGAGGGAGGGTACAGAGAGAGGGGGGGAAAAAGAAACGAGAAAACGCTATAAAAATTTGATTAGACGATCCTCCACTGAAGTGACTTTCTGTGTTCTCCTGCCTTTTTTTTTTTTCAAAGCATCGCCCCAGAGAACAGGACAGACTGATTTTTTTTTTTTTTTTTTTTTACAGGTCCTAATTAAAAACATCTGAAGACCCTCAGACATCAAAGTCTTGCATTGCAATCTAAATGAGTCTTTTTTTCTGAACTCAGTTTACTTGATAGCCCATGCAGCTCTCAAGATGTTATTTTAATATTAATACAAGCATTATTTATATTTATGAGCTGCATTTAAACATGCATATGGAAGTCTGCATATGATTAATGAAGAAAACAACCAAACACACAACTGCTTGACACAGGTCACCGGCTGTCACAACTTTACAGCACGAGGCAAATTGAACAAAAATTGAACAAAAAGACACAATGTATACTTTTTTTCACATGGGATGATAATAAATCTTTGTATATCTAAAATAAAAATGCAATATTTTCAACAAAATATCATTTTTGAAATACACGTAGGCTATTGTTTTTAATTACTAACTGAACATGTCAATGGTTTTAAGCTGATGTAGATTAGGTTGAAAAAAAAAAACGTTTTATAATCATAATAAAGGTGCGTTTCATAAGAATCATCAGAATCATATTTAAAAAGTTGAAGCATGCGTGAATACACAAAATCGATAGTAGCCTACTATAAAACAGCGCTCTAAAATAATTATTTTTAATTTCTATTATAATTAGCTTTCTCAAAGGTTTGTTTTTTCAGAATGCGTCTTTAAACATCAAAGCAAAATCGTATTTAAACTCTGAGCGACTACGATAAACATCTAACGAGTCTTGCAAAGTGTTTTTCGTAGAATAAAAAAGTAATATCGATACTAACCATTCATTCTGCTCTAGACGCCGGGTTCCTCTTGCGTTCGTGGGGAAACTCCGAGCGGTTACAGTAAAAACTGCTGCTGTTTCTGTTGAGAGAGCGCCGTGTTACCTTTGCGTTTAACTTCTGATTCCTTCGCTTCCTGCGCAGTGGGAAGAGACCAGAGCCGCTGCGTCGCGTCATCAGCAGGGAGCCGCTCCTATTGGCTGAACGCGTGCACATTGAGAACGCTGCTCTTTGTTCCATTGGGCGCACGCGGAGGGAAAGACGCTCCTCCTCGCTGAGTTCTGTGCGCAAGAATGCGTGAGAAGAAAAACGGGGAATGTGTCTGATGTCTGAGGTCAACGCTGCTTAAAGCTCCTAGAAAAAAAATCAGCTATATGTAGCTTAATTTATTTTTTGCTTATTGACAATCGTCTGCATTACTGATAAAAATGCTGCTTTCGTGCATTTTAAATATAGCTTCACATATCAAGTCTTTATAGTATTCAAATATATTACGCAATTCAAGTATAGCATGCATTTACAATATAAACGGAATAAGCTAAATATTCAACATAGTAAATGATGTTTGCATGGACAGTTTCAGTAAAAACTTTTAAGTCTCCGAGGAAAGAAAAAAAAAAGTTTCTTTTTAATTCAAAACAACACTGTACACATTTCATTGTTTAATATAAAAATGAAAACTATTACCAGAAATGTCATGTAAAATTAAAGCTTAAAAAAATGACTCTAACTCTAAAATCATCACATGTTGTCTATCAAAATATAATTTTATATTATATTTAAGGCAAATATAATTAAATAAGGTTAACCAAACATATAGCTTTTAACTTTAGCATTTTATTTTGTTCCCTATTAAAATGACCTTTTACAGAATATAATCACATTTTTATGTATTTGCAATAGAAGATCATATATTATTTGGGGCACCACTTTCATCATAAATATTGAATTTATACTATCACGAGGCTCAGAAAATGTTTAAAAGAGAAAGGCTCTTAAGTAAATCTCCTCATGGTGGAAACATGACTTCCTGAATGGTAAAACCAGAATGAATGATGCATCAGAATGGTGTAATATCCATCAGTAAAGAGAACTTTAATAATATCCATTTCCTTAGGCTAACGGCAAAATCACTTTTTTTGTTTATCTAGCACTTCAATCAACATTTAACCTTTACTCACTGAGCTTCTTAATTGGGTGAACGTACCAAATACGCCAAGTATTCTTTGGGATGCTTCATATCACCCCCATTCTCCACAAAACGAGTGCTATTCACTGGCAGTCCAGCACACTCTGAAATGCGCATGCGAAAGGAATATTTCATATGTCTTTCTCTCCGAGTGGCTTGGAAAACCAAAGGCCCAAGGTATGTTGGGAATATTAGAGCGTGCGTAATGCGGGTGAACATCCTCCCAGCACGGATGCAGCATTAAATCAATATTCTGCAAAGCTTCCCCATCTTGAGTTATTCACTTGACTGCTGTCATGATCCACCACGTGGGTTGTGCAGTTGTTTTCTGATTTTTGTGACGCCCTCCCTCCCTCTCTCTCTCTCTCTCTCCCTCATCTGAATTGCCCACCACCTTCATGCTTTGATAGCTCTGCAAGAGAAGAAAAAAAAAAGTGTCTGATGACATATTTTTGTCTTTCATTACGTGTGACAGCCAAAAAAGGCAAATCCAACAGCTGATTAGCGTACATTAGCATTGACAGGCATTTGAATCGAACCGCACCTGCTGCTGGCAGAACGAAGATCCGTGTTTGTTTTTTTCACTCTCAGAATTGCGTGTTTCTCATGCGTTGGTTGGTTAGCTCTGGGTATCCGCGCTAGCATGTGGTGTCAAAACTAAAGCATTCCTGCTTTGGAGATGTTTACCAGAACTTAGCTTTGCATTTCCTTTCAAGATTTAAGCCTCTTTAAAATTGCAACTCTACAACCAACTAAACATATCACATAGGCTACTGTAGAGTTAGAGAGCAGAGTCGAACATTAACACTCCATCATACCTGCTAATAAATAGAGAACTTTCCAGGCATTATTTTTGGCCATGTACTTTTTTCAGTGTATATAAATATATTTTGGGCTGCCCTCGACTAAAGATTTTCTAGTCGTCTATAGTTGTTCATTTAAGCGATTAGTCCACTAATCGCACGTCTATACACAGCCTAATCAGCACTCAAGCGAACACATGAAGCTTGCCACGGCCCACCGGCAATAGTAATGATTATGAATGTGTTGTGAAAAAACAGCAAGGAGATTGTCTGAACATTTTAATAATTTATTGATAATGTTTTCGATTTCAGAGATTAGGTCGATGGTGCGTACTCGTCATCTTCACAGAACAGTGCACGCACCTATGCACGTTTCATAACATAATCCTAGAATATCTGTTTTCCATTTGAATCGGTTCATTTAAAAATAGACATTTCAAAGAAAAAAAGCGCATCCTTGATTTACAAAAGCACAACGTTTAGTTATTGTGAGTGCACACAAATAAAAGGAGTCATTTTCGGTTGTAGATTCTGCTACTCTTGATGTCAGACCAAAAAAGGCTGAGTATTTTAGGTTAAATGCCAGTGATCACGCCGGTGCTTCCACACTCCGCACAAACACTTGGATATGCACCAAATAATAGCGTACATTTATCTAGGTTAGAGCAAGCGGCCACATAATTTTGCTACTTACATGTTTCAAATGAAAGAACCCACTATTAACGATCTGTCCCTCACTGACTACTTGACTTCGCCATGACACACACACACACACACACACACATAGCCTACATACAGTACACTAACCTAAAGGATTATTGGAAACACCTGTTCAATTTCTCATTAATGCAATTATCTAATCAACCAATCACATGGCAGTTGCTTCAATGCATTTAGGGGTGTGGTCCTGGTCAAGACAATCTCCTGAACTCCAAACTGAATGTCAGAATGGGGAAGAAAGGTGATTTAAGCAATTTTGAGCACGGCATGGTTGTTGGTGCCAGACGGGCCGGTCTGAGTATTTCACAATCTGCTCAGTTACTGGGATTTTCACACACAACCATTTCTAGGGTTTACAAAGAATGGTGTGAAAAGGGAAAAACATCCAGTATGCGGCAGTCCTGTGGGCGAAAAGGCCTTGTTGATGCTAGAGGTCAGAGGAGAATGGCCCGACTGATTCAAGCTGATAGAAGAGCAACTTTGACTGAAATAACCACTCGTTACAACCGAGGTATGCAGCAAAGCATTTGTGAAGCCACAACACGCTCAACCTTGAGGCGGATGGGCTACAACAGCAGAAGACCCCACCGGGTACCACTCATCTCCACTACAAATAGGAAAAAGAAGCTAAAAATTGGACGGTTGAAGACTGGAAAAATGTTGCCTGGTCTGATGAGTCTCGATTTTCTGTTGAGACATTCAGATGGTAGAGTCAGAATTTGGCGTAAACAGAATGAGAACATGGATCCATCATGTCTTGTTCCCACTGTGCAGGCTGGTGGTGGTGGTGTAATGGTGTGGGGGATGTTTTCTTGGCACATTTTAGGCCCCTTAGTGCCAATTGGACATTGTTTAAATGCCACGGCCTACCTGAGCATTGTTTCTGACCATGTCCATCTCTTCATGGCCACCATGTACCCATCCACTGATGGCTACTTCCAGCAGGATAATGCACCATGTCACAAAGCTCAAATCATTCACTCAATCACCAGATCTCAACCCAATAGAGCATATTTGGGATGTGGCGGAACAGGAGCTGGATGTGCCATCAAAATCTCTATCAACTGCAAGATGCTATCCTATCAATATGGGCCAACGCCAACATTTCTAAAGACTGCTTTCAGCACCTTGTTGAATCAATGCCACGTAGAATTAAGGCAGTTCTGAAGGCGAAAGGGGGTCAAACACAGTATTAGTATGGTGTTCCTAATAATTCTTTAGGTGAGTGTGTATGTATATATATATATATGTGTGTGTGTGTGTGTGTGTGTGTGTGTGTGTGTGTGTGTATTAGTGCTGTCAAATCGATAAAAGTATGTGCATAAAAAAAACACACAAGTGTTTATATTTATATATGCGTTTATGTACACAAATATTAAATATTTATAAATCTTTCTGTTAGACGTGATTAATTCATTTGACAACACTATTATATACAGTATATATTAGAGCCAGTGCAGGTTATTGCATCATACATCAAAAAAATGCATCTGTCATGAAAATGTGATTTAACTTCTCATATTTTCTTTTTTTTTTTTTTTGGAGGGGTTTTGCAAAGAATATTCCACATATGTGAACTCTAGATAATATATATATATATATATATATATATATATATATATATATATATATATATATATATATATATATATATATATATATATATATATAGATCATAGAATATATATATATATATATATATATATATAATAGATCATAGAATATATATATATATATATATATATATATATATATATATAATAGATCATAGAATATATATATATATATATATATAAAATGGATCATAGACAAATCTCCTATGGGGATAAGGACATTTTAAAAAGACACAAAAAGATATAATTCAATATTGCAGCTGCTAATAAAGCTATTTTAATTAATAGCGAAATCTACTTAGGCCTATTTTGGTTGGGACCCCAGTTGGAACATGATGCATCAAGGTGTATTTGAAACCATGTGGATACTAAAAGGTAATTTTCTGTGAAAGAGAGTGTAATTCATAGCAACAGTAGATGATTTTGTTAAATGCGTTAATATTATTTTGATATGCAAGCAGTGAAAAAGCTGTTGCAGTTTCTGTAGCAGCGCCACATTTAAAGCTGCATTTAAAATGGCTACCTAAGCTAGCATCATTTTCAGTTAATAATTATGTATCATGTCAAGGAACAGGCTTGTGCAAATTTATTAAGGATATATTTTACCAGTAATCTCAAATCACCATCACAGTCATACTCGGAAGGGCCTTCTTGCTTTCATTTTTATTCACTCAATGAGGGCTTGTCAGTTATGCGTCACAATATCCTGATGCAGGTGTGTGTGTGTGTGTGTGTGTGTGATTGGAGGGGGCAACAAATCAACAAACAGAATTCAAAATAAAAGGAGATCAGCAGCAAAGCGTTCAGCTCATCACAAATGAGCAAAATCTTATCTTTGTTCCACTCCTAAATTTAGACTGACGTTTTGCAATGCTTAGCATAAATTGTAGAGAGCAAAGAGGATTCAGAGAACCGTTAATGCATGATGATTTAGGTCTAATTTTAGCCTTAGCTCTGATGCAAGGACGTAAAACATCCTTGCCTGCATAGGCTTCAAAAGATATTTCTCGCTTC